GTGTGTGTATATATATATATGTGTGTGTACAGAAATGTACATATACATATACCATCTACCTCACCATCTTATTTGGTTATTATTATCTTCTCATAATTACGAATTAATTAATGAGGTTACAATTAATTAAAAAACCTTATTTAACAACTCTCAAGCCCTTTTATTCTCATCACACACACATACACAAACCAACATACATATATACATACACGTATACATATACATAATATAATATACAAGTAATACAGTTCTCATCCCAATAATATTTGTCTTTATCGACGGCTTAATAAATAAATATATACTTCATATTTAATAAAAGGGTCTCTCATCTGTTTATGTAATCTACGAAAATATATAAATCATTTTTATATGGAGAGCATTTATAATGTACCATGTGAAACCTTAAAAAGAACATCTGAATGTTATTCATGCATCGGTGAGTTTTGTCAGTAGTAATATATATATATATATATATATATATAATGATTATTATATGTGTCTGCATATGTTTGTAATCTCCAAAGAAAAGATCTTAATTATATATATACATGTATATGCGTATTAATTGATACCATTTCTTGATGCGTAAATTAATATATATGTATACCATTTGATGAAGTGGAAGATCATGATCTGATGATGATGATGATGATGATGATGATGATAATGATGATGATGGTGATGGTGATGATGATGGTGACAGAAGTAGAGAAAGCACACTCCCAACAAGACTAAAGACTCTCTTTAGCCAATGCTGGCTTGTGCTCTCTCTCTTCTGTCAACATGAATATATACATACACATATATATTCATATCCCTTCGTTACTTCATTCTCTGCATGAAAAGAAAATGAATTTAATTACCTACGATAGTAACATATACATTAAAGATATCTAAAACTTGAAAATGTTCATATGCATATATTTATATAAATCTTACCTAGCAATATATGTACACATATGTATATATGTATATAAAACAAAAAGAAACCCATACATATGCATGTGTGCATATATATATATACAATTGAGTCATGTGCATGCATGCATCTACCCAAACGATCAGTATATGCTTACATATATGTACATACATAATACATGCATATATCCGTAGAAAGAAATTACTTTGTAGCTCAAAAGATAACCAAGAACACCTACCTCTCCGCATACCTTCCACCGGGAACTTTCCATTGAAGCTGAACACTCACAACCCATAACATAGATATATATATATACACACGCACGCACGCACACACATATATATATATACACACACACGCACGCACAATAAATATAAAAGAAAGAGAGGAAGCCAATATCTGTGTACGAGGTAGGAGAAGGAAATTTAGATGGAGATCTAGCTAGAGAAGTACATGAGTGACATGAAACTGAGATCCATTTTATAGAGATGACAAGGGTAACCGGGTAATACCGGTAAGAGAAGATATGACCGGCAATAAGGAGTAAAATATAAATAAATCAAGTATAGTAAATAAAAAAGTGAAGGTGGTCCTGAAATTAAATTCCCAAATTTAATTTAAAAATTGGCAGTTTCTACAAAAATAGGGGATTCTCCTAAACCTGGCTTTCATACTTTAAATAAAACCCTTTCACTATCACATTTATTATAATTAGGTGGTTAATTTTTTAAAAAAATTAAATTTTATCAGTCTCACGTGTTGACTATATCTGGTAAGACAGCGACCGGCTACAGCAGGTCACTGAAGCAAAAACAGCCAGCAAACCATGGGCATTCACGCGTGCTGTGATGCACTGTTCACGTGATTTTAAGGTAGTCTTTGCTATGCGATTGTGACACGTGGCGAACATGCACGGTTGTTGACAGTTGTGCCGGTGTGGGACCCATCACATGGAGCTATTCGTACTTCGAGGACACAAATGGGATTTGAATAAAGATCAAGGACATTTTGGTCAATTTTGAAAAAAACAATATTATTATTATAAAAAAAAAATCAAACTTTTTATAAATATACAAACTTTTATCTAATTATTAAATTGTGAAATAACATATATATATATATATATACACTATCAAAATATTACTGAAAATTACACAAATTAAATTTGCTTAATTGGTTTAAAAAAAAAAAATGGTACAATAGAAATTTCTCTGATCAACAACTCGAGATATCACAGCCGTCCAATAAACAACCAATCAGATCACACATTAAAACTGGGACCCACAAGATTCTAGTATTCGAAGAGATTCTCACGTGCTTTCCCCAACGTGGGAAGAAAAATCCAAACAACTCCCTTCTCCAACTACCACGCACGGCCAGCCACTACGACCCCACTTCCCCACACCTCGCCTTGGTTCGTTTCAGTAACTAACTTAACTGCCATGGAACTGCGCTTTAAAAGATATTTAAATCTGTCCTCCCTTAATCAAAACTTCTTTACCTTAAAAGTTTGGGCTCGGAGATGGCTTCTCTGAGTTCTTCATGTGTTGTGTTTTGTCTGATAATTTGGGTTCCACCATTGTTGTCTGGTTTCTTCGTGGCTTCCTATGAGTTCCATGTCGGTGGCGATGAAGGCTGGATAAAGCCGGCTGCAAATCAAACAGAGATTTATAATCACTGGGCTAAAAATAACAGGTTCCATGTTGGAGACTCTCTTTGTAAGTTTCTCCCTGTTTCTTTAAATACAATATATATATATGGAGCAGTTCTTTAAATAAATATGAGCATTAACTATTATATACGCAAACGCATATACATACATGATATATCGAGCATTTGATGTACATTACAGTATTACTGGAGAAATGTTATTTAGAATAGTGTACCTCATCGTTAGACACTCTGCAAATTACTATGATACTGTTACATGCATATTATGTTTAGTAGATTACAAACTCCATATTTAATTTGTAGGGTGGCTGAGAAAAAAAAAAATTGTTTCTTGGATAACATATACATATATATATATATATATATATATATTACTCTTTACTTTGTAAGTGAAACAAAATATAGTATTATGTATTTTCTTTCATGCCATAATGTATATTTCTTTAATATTCTACTGTAATATTATCAAACACTGCTATAAAATACTAAAAAGAAGTAATGTATTTGATCATTGTAACTTACAGGATAGCTATGTGATTATACACTAAACAAATAATAATATGTATATAAAAATTTATATATGTATTTGTATTATCTATCCAAGAGTTATATATATATATATATATCCTATCCAAGGGTTGTTGGTTAAGTTGATGGTTTCCTTGCAGACTTCAAGTACCAGAACGATTCAGTTCTGGTAGTGAACAAAACCAGTTACAAGAACTGTGATGTGTCCAACCCAATCTTGAAATTTGAAGACGGCAACACCACTTTCTGGTTTGATCGATATGGGTATTTCTACTTCATAAGCGGGGAGCCAGGAAACTGCAAAGCTGGGCAGAAACTGATCATACGCGTGATGGTTGACCCTGTTGCTCATGCACCGCAATCACCAGCACCATCACCTGGAGGCGAAGAAAGTGGTGGTTCAGGCGGTGGAGACGGGTGGGATTCCTTTAGCTGGGGCCCGCCCTCGATGAACTCCACAATCAAGCAGTCTGTTGCTTCTTATTTCTTGACTGCTCTTGGGGGGATGCTTGTTGTTCTCTATTTGTTGATGTAGTTTGATTTACTTCGTTGTTAGATTGTTGTTGGTACTTCTCTGTTCTTGCTTGATTTCCTTTGGTTTTTAATTATTATCTGAGGATTGTCTCAGTTAATTACTTTCACTTGGCTTCATTACCTTAAGATTCTAACTAATATATTTATTTTTATTTTTGAAATTAACTTATACATTATGCTTTAATTGTTACACTATTTAATTTACTAAATACTAAAAAATTATCACAGAAGCATGATGCTGGGGAAGCAACATAGTAGCACCCAAAACCAAGAACCACTATGATCAACGAGGAAGAAATTTACATAATGAAGAATTTTTTTGTATAATGAATGTATAGCCTGCCTACAACAATTGGTTACAGTGTGTCAGTAGAAAACCTTGGGCCTTGAGTTACAGATTAAATTACTCCACTCTGTTTGACTTCAGTAGTAGAGAATGAATCAGCAATATCATCACAAGATAATTGACTATAGGATGAGCTACCTGTTGCATTGTCTGTCTTCGCCACTGGGGTCTTTTCAACAGAATCCGGCACATGATTAGTTATATTATCTTCTTCATTGACACTTTTATGCTCTTGAATTTCTATCTCTAACTTGGACTCTTCCAATCTGGTCTTCCATTTGATACCAGCTGCCTTTGCCTGATCTGCAAATAATACCTTTGAGGTAGGTGAGGCGCATATCTCTTTGTAAGCTTCGTAAGTAGCAGCATGAGTGCTTCCGCCTTCCAGCAGCTTTGAGAGAGGATGTAAAACTGAAATTGGATCTTTATTTTTGTCCAAGTTATGCATCAAAATCAGAAAGTCGGAAATCAGTTCTGTCTTGCTGAACTGGATAAACACTGCAGTTTCATCCACATGATAGACAGAGGTCACGGATCTAACGCCAAAGGCTTTAGAGATGCATTCTCTTATATCTACAGCCTTGAGTTTCGATGGAAATCCCCAGACTAAGGCAATGTTTTCAAACACAATCGGTGGATACCTCTTTCCCGTTTTATGAGAAACCAGAGACTCAGCAGTTTTTTTACCAGTTCTTAGATCAACAATCACCCCATTAATCCAACTCAGATAGAGAAGGTTGATGTGCTTCTGGAGCTTTTCATTGTGGGCCAGACATTTGGAATGGAGTTTAAAATCAATTCCAAGAAGACTGCATGACTGGGCAAAGATGTATCCTGTCATGAAAGCATCATAACCAGCCTCATGCTTGGCACCAGGGTTCCATACAGAGAATCTGCAATTTCATCAATCCCACTGCAAATTAAATTGGGAAAGCTCTTGAACATACAATTTATTACTTAAAATATTGGAAAAATTGCTCGCAAACACAACAGAGTCATCAAAGCTAGGATGCTATGATTTTTCACTTGACTAGTATAGTCTTGAAGTAGGCCTCAGATTCATCACATTCACGAGCAAATAGATGTGCCAGCATATTAAGTCCATCACTGTATACCTAGGTTCTTACCTTATAATTGTACAGATCTTCAATTAACTCTACACAGTACTACAAAAACTCATTACATAATGATATCTATACCTAGATTTAAAGGGAAGAACAAGTCTAAACAGAACTACCATAACTCATTACACAATGATATCTACATAGATCTAAAGGACTTTCACCCAGTTGAATAAGATGGGATTCACTATATAACAAACTTGTAAATACCACATCTTAAACAAAAGAAAATAACTGCAAGAAATGAACAAATAATTAAAACGCTATATTTTCAGGAAAAGAGAAAGAAAATCAAACCTAATATTATCCACTTCAACATCAACTTCAACACATTGCTGAAACACCAATCTAGAGCTTTTAGAACCAAGAGACATTTGTGGGCATAACAATGCAAATGCTGAGGATAACGATGTTTTAGATCTTTTCATCCGTCGTTGCAGTATCTCATCAGCATTCAAGAGTATTTTGGTGTCAATAATATGAGAAAAATACTTGTTTACAGAGGAGACAAAATCTTCAGCTGTCGAAGGAAGAGGACCAGAGAATTTGCTGTATATGTGTGCAATATCTGCATCGGGAGAACAAACTTGTAAACGATGTACTTGACACTCTTAATAATGGCGGAGACTGATATTTTTGTGTTAGGAAAAATCTGAGAATGATATGCATACCCAGGAAACAATTGTGACCAACGATTAACTTTTTTTCTGAGGAAAGAAGGTCAATAACATGGCGAAACCCAATTGCAGCTTTAATCTTTGTTTCCGCCCCTCTTCGACGCTCATCTTTCACCTCTTTCTGCAAAGCAAAATAACGAGGGTACTTATTGGGCACAATGAGAGACTTATAGAGATGCATAATGATGCCTCACGGAGACTGAATTTCAGATTCCTATTTTTGTTTTTAAAATCTTCCAATCCAAGAATAGTGCCACCATATTCATGCATGAAAAAATAATTCAATAACTCGAATCATACCCTTTTATAAAATACAAGTTCTAGCAACATATAATTAGTTACAGAGAAACTAGCTGCTTTCATTGAAATCCAGCCACAAAATACTCAAAGCTCCATGAAGGGCAGAATTAAATGCAATAAAAAAAGGCCAAAATTGTTCTTGCAGTGCCTAAAAACTTAGATTTCCCAGACTAAATCTGTTGAAAGGATTTTTACAATAGAGGGACGAGTAAACTGAACATAAACTGAACTCATTATATGATCTTTGTCACAATCATATGCATGGCTCTTACCATAAGTAAGTTCCTGTCCTCCTCTGATTCAGTATATACAACTAGCTCACTTGAAGAGAAATTTTCACCATCCCCATGAACATAGGCAAGATCACTAAAATGCTTCCTCGTAACCTGTTGGCGACCAACTTTACCTATTAGCGATCCAAAAATCTAATGCAATAGACATGCACTGTATGGGAAACAAAAGCTTGAGATAAGCAGAAAGAAAGAAATCTCAATGTATTAAAGCGAACAAATAAGGAAACAAATTCATGCTGGTCAGAGATAAATCGCAAAGAAATAGATATATCAATAAAGGTCCACATGGCAGACATTTGTAAGCGAATAGGTTAGCAGATTGAATCAGTGTTAATACAAAGAGAAACATTATTTCAAAACCAGTTGTCTGCAATCAAACATAAAACAACATGCGGAACATAATGAATTGAGTTAACAAAAGACGACAATACCAGTTGAATTAACCTAAGCTGATGAGAAGTGAAGCCATGAAGACTAAGAGCCGGCCGCATCTTGAAGAATATTGTTTGAAACTGCTGGCTAGAATTACTTGAGCTTCTCTGAATTTCAGGCCATCCGTTTCCACCATGTAACATAACATCACGCCATTCGCTCAACCTATTCTTCATTCTTTCAGCAAAGAGAACATCAGCTATGCGGCCCAGTGGCTTCTCCCTACCTTCTTTCAACTTGAGCCATGAGTTATAGGACTCATCCTCATAATGTGAATTCAACTGCCTTAATGCCTCTTCTTCTTGTCTTCTGGACAAATAAGATACCCCTGAGATTATTCTAAACTGTGAATTTCCAAACTATTTGCACTTCACAAACCATTTTTTCTTTATACTCTTTTTATAAACACACAGAATATATGAAGCTCTTATACTCCTCGCTCTCTTCTCCCTCAGCCCCTCTCTCAATAATGCAAGTTCCAAATATCAAATAATGGCAGTAAACCCCTAACTCGTTTGAGGCAAGATAAAAAATTAGAGATTTCTTTCAGAATACCTTCATGTATGCAAGCATTAAAATCAAACTGGTATTTAGCCAAGAAGTCAATGGAAGTTGTCTGGCAGAGGAACTCATGAGAAGGGCCATCAAATGGAAGCTCTTGACGAGGAAACACAAAGAAATTGTGCCTGTGAAACGACATCGTACAATCTTATTCAACTAAAGGCAAAACTTCAACTGCAGCTTAAAATTCATAGCTTTAAGCTACAATCAATATACCAGCATATATAATTATATGTATTTATAGTGTATGTATAGAAAGAAAGGAAAGAGAGTAGTTGTTACTAACGGGTGAGAGATGAAGGAGTTCTTAAGTGGGTCCCATCGGAAGGGACAGACGCCGAACTGGACGACGGCGAATTTCTCGGCGGAGTCTTTAACTTTGAGATACCGGACATCGAAGCGGTCAAACTCGAAGGACTCCCGCCAGGGCGCGCTGGTTATGCCCGTCATCTCCAGGTCGATTGCCACGAAGTCCGCGGAACGCACGTGCGTCCGAAGATCCGCCAGCGCGGCCTCGAAGTTTGATTTCGTCACTTGCTTCAAGGGGAACGGCGCTGCTCCTGCCGTACCATTTGGTGGCGACGGGGGTTTGGGCGAGGAGGTGGTGGTGGTGGAATGAGCGCGTGCAAGAGCACGCGAGAAAGACCTGAGAGGCCATCGCTTGTAACAGTTCATTGGAGAATAGAGAAAGAAATGAGCATGGCGATGTACAGTAGTGAACTGGTCTGTTAGTAGTTTTGGGGTTTTAGGTTTTCCATCTTCGTGTTCTTCTGGAGCCTGGAGGTGGAAGAAGAAGATGATGGTTCGAACAATAGTTGCACCTTAAACGACGCCGTCGCTACGCTGGCTTGTGCAAGTGACTTTCTTACGGTAAAATGACATAACATTTTTAAAATTGTTTTTTTGTGAGTGTTAAAATTATTTATTGAAAGGAAAGAAATAAAATATTTTCAGAAAATCTAAAATAAGAAATTATTAAAAAAACATTTCATAGTTTTTTTAAAAAGAAAAGGTATTCCAGTGTAAACAAAAATAAAAATAACCAATAAATCAATAGCCGTTAGTCAAAATTTAAGTTAATCAATTAAAATTTTCAAAATAAATATTTTATCAGATTATTTATAAAAATACAATATTAAATTAACATATATTGGTTATATAAATATCAATCATATGCATATTCACACTGCTGCAATGGCTTCACTTCATGATCTTTGATTAACACAAGGTATCATTCATGGGATCCTCAGGCAGCCTGAATGCATCTTCTGACAGCAAAAGCTCAAGTAAAACTAGATCATCTTCAAGATCTTAGTTTCCTCACCTTTGACATTTTGTTTTCCATATCCCCTTTAGATTATGCTGAGAGTTGATCCGATAATATCAAAACCATGTGACTCGCGTAATTTCAAGCATTTCTTGAAAATTGCTGCTGCAATCTGCATGCCAACTAGCCACAAAGATGGCTTTCTATGTTCTCGGCTCCAGAAATTTTTTTAAAAAAAAAAGTCCTGCATTGCGGTAACAGCAGTACTTGAAGTCCCCGAAAAGCTTATCAAACTAAGGACATGGCATGTGCATCCAAAAATGCAAATGGTGTATGCATGATTTCAGAAGATGACTGAACTGGCTGACAGAAAGAGCCAAAATTCCTGGGAAAGATTCAGAGAAAATAATAGGTAAAATCACTTGCACTGAGGAAATAGAAATAACGTTTTCAACGTCTTAACAGAATTGTCTCGAATATATCCTTCTGCAGTATGTTATATGAATTTTCCAGCACAGAGTAGAGCAGTGAAAACCAATGTGGTTGCAAATGTACAGTTGTTCACCATATCTAGCAAACACTCGATGGCATATAGAATAGAAAGGTTGCTTTACTTACATCTAGTCATATCTCCCTTATTAAGCGAGCAGCAAAGGCCCCATCTAGTGAATGTTTTACTGGGTTAGAGGAATAGAAACCTTGCTTTGTCACAAACTCAGATGGTACATATCTATCAACAGGATCAATGCAAAACTCCTGGTGCAAAAGATATTATCTGAAGTTTAGATCTAAGCTTATAAGCCGTCAAAACATGGATAAAGAATGATTCATACAGGATGCCTGAGAAGAAATGCATACACCCGCTCTTCATTTTCTTCGGGATCTATGGAGCAGGTACTATATATTAAAACCCCACCAGGTTTCACCAACCTGTGCACAAGACAATGAGTTCAATCAAGGAACAAAGGCTACAAGCCTATAAAGAGCTTCTGAGATAGATTTTAATTAATTTACTCGCAAAACAAGAGAAATTTATAATAAATTTGAAGAAATGAATTATTTTGTGTTAAAATGAAACCATGTTTGGTGCTGTGCCATGCATTTGAGAGAGAAAAAGAGAAGCACAAAAAGAAAAGAAAGAGAAGAGGAAGATCTTGATCTCACATGGAAGCTGAATCAAGGAGCTCATCCTGCAAGTTCTTGAGTTGTTCTAAGTCCTCCAATCTCCTATTCCAGCGCAAATCTGCCCTCTTTGCAGTGGAACAGAGAAGCAGAATGATTAGTTAAATTTTAAGGTTCATCAGCCAATATATAATGGAGGACGAGCCAGAACATAGGAAAAAAAATCCTCAGCTTTGTTAGAACCTGCGGGACAAGAAATTACCTTGGAGAGAACCCCAAGTCCCGAACACGGAGCATCCAGCAAAACCTTATCATACTTCACCTGATTAGCATCCTAATTCGGAGGTAAAGAAGCTCAGAGCAATATGTGAGGAATTGTTATCCACAAGGAGTACAAGTTCAGAGCAATAGTTATGCCTTATAAAAACCGTCTTCCATTGAGGGGAAACTTACAGCAAAGGCACGAAGGTCAGCGTTAATGGCGGTAATAACATCATCAACTTGATGCAACTTTGCTGTCTCTCTAAGGATTCTTAACCGCCCTTTGTTTATGTCAATTGCATACAAATTACCTACAACAAATAAAACACTATATATGCTGCATAATTTCACAACACGTAAATAGTGATGCAACTACTTTAACCCAATATATTTAGTTCACCATCCTATTTCTATCAGCACTGAAGTACAAAGCACAATAACTTCAGGATCAATGTACCATAAATAGCAACCATCTAAAACCTTGATCTGCATATGTCATCATTAACTTGGGACATGGTAGAAGAAGAACTAAACACTACTTCAGGAAAATTTTTCTGTTTGAAATCTTCGTTATCATACTTGTGGAAGAAGAAAGAATTGTAATATTAAAACAAAGGAGTTAGATAGCTCGTCAAGCATTGCAATAATGTTCAATGTCTTTACTGAAAAGGGGGCAAAAAGACAAACACTTAAAAAGTGGCACAATTTACCCTTTCGACTCAAACGGGATGCCATATAAAGTGTCTTTCCTCCAGGAGCAGCACAACCATCAACAATGCTCTCACCAGGCCGAGGATCCACAACAGAAACTATCATACCTGCAATGTTATTGTGATATACCATTCAATGATATGTACATAAGGTAGAAAAATTCAGAGACTAATCTCTTGACATTGTGAACAACTGATCGAAATGTATGTTATGAGTATGGACTACACATAGATATAAGCATTATATTTTAGGTGTCCAGGTAGAAGAGAAAAAAAATTGACCTGCACTCTCATCCTGGACAGAACACAGACCTTCTCGCAGTAATCCAGCTTGCATAACAATCTGAAATAACAAAAAGTAGGCAATCAGGAAGTGAAGTAGATTATTCCCAAATAACCTTACAACAACTTCCGCAGTGTCTTTTTGCTTCCTAAAAATAGAATAGCAGTAAGCATAGAACTTAACGATTTCAACATCTTAACTAGACAGCAATAGTGCCTTCATAACAACAACAGCGATTATCTTAAAAGAATTCTACTTTGAGCCTCTAGTAAAAAATATTCACCTTCAATATACAACCTATTATCATGTTTTTTTTACAATGCAGATTATGCTCCATAGATAGCAACTGATAGAACAAGAACCATCCTAAACAAGAACCTGGTACAGAAACATGCCTGCAAGCCAGTTTTGATGCGTACAAAATCCTCCAAATTCAATGAAAGCTCATATGGAACCTGCAGGTTGAACAATAGAAAGTTAATGACTGAACAAAAAATCACAACATACCAAGAGAGCTAAGAAGAGATAAAGCATTTTTCTATATGTGTTCTCTAGTCAAACAAGAGGTGTATGTGCATGTTTTCATCTGTATGGATACGCATGCCGGAGAAGAGAATGAGAAAGTGGGATCCAGTTAAAAAGGCCAGGCAATTTCAGAGTACATCAGCAAGCAGGATGCTACACTAACCAATCTAAAAGAATTTCAAATTCTCAACATCTTAAGCAAATGAAAGGAGAACAGTAATAAAGTACCTTTAACGAATTTAGCTGCAACACAAGGTCGGACCTTGAAACACCTTTCCCAATGTTTGCCCTGAGATCTTTGGAGGGTTTAGTTATAAGATAAATTTGACATTACACATTCTAACAAAACGAATCAGCCACAAACCTCAAACTGAAACTGGGATTACTGTTGTTCCACATCATCAATTTGATAGCTTCTTCACTCCCAAAATACTTTGTCCAACGCCGTACCATCCACTGAAAAAATAGAAAACCTGTTAAATGGGATTTCCATAAAAGGAAAGGAAGCTACATGAGATAGAACATGTTACTAACAATATGAAAAATTTAACTTTACTCCATCTGCAATGGTAGGGACAATATACCAACTCATCTTCATTAGATCAGTGTACAATACTGTACTACAAAGCGTGTTCATTGTCAAACTAAAATAAATAGCCAAGAGTTCTGAAAGTGAACTACCGAACCCAGTTATCACAATAGAACATGCATAAGTCTCTAACAGAACACTTGGCAAATGAGGTAAATAGCCCTTAGTTTAAATTTCAATTTCTGCTTGGGTGTTACCATGTAACATCTTATATACTAACTTCTGAAAATGATGAACAAGGTCTTCAACTTCAACATTTTACAATTGTTAGGATACCTTCCAACATTTACTTATTTCCCCAGAAATATCATGGTTATGACGCTTGCTTCATCACAAGCCCATCAATGAGATCTACTATTTGTATTGCATCAATCACTACAGTGGGAAATAATAGGAAACAGACGCAAGAGAAGGAGCAAAAGATTTCTAAACTTACTACAGGATGAGAATAAAGAGTTGCAAGAGCACGTGCTTGTTCTCGATCATCACCTTCCACTTTAGGTAGAGGAAGGGCGTCATTTTCCTGCAAAACTTAAAGGTTAGAAATCAAATACCTGGAAGGTACTATTAGCCATGTGAGTAGATAAGTGAGTAGATAAGTAGAAAACCTTAAGCAACACTAGTTTCCGAAGTATCCCATTAACCATGTTACCAGCACCAGGTCTAAGGGCAACCTTTGCAAGTCTGACATTCTGCAGTTAGACATGAAAATTGACAAAATTGTGAGAGCCAAAATGACAAATAGAACTTATTACTGGATGCCAAAGAATCCGATCTTTGGTTGTATCGAACAATAGAATAGAAGTAATTTTTCTAAAAGCTTAAGTTAATAGGAATAACTCAATTTCTTATTTATACATGAACAGGCCTTGTCACCTACAAATCCACCACGTTGAACATGTGGACAAAGCACAAACACATTCTACCTTGTGCTGAAATTAGTAAACTAAAATTGGACGGCAGCTAGGATTTGAAAATTAGGGTCTAGGTATGGTACCATGTTGAATAATGAAGTTGAATCAATTTTGCTAAAAGTTTAATATTATAGGAAATAATCGAATTTATTATTTATGCATTAACAGGTGGATCTGTATTGATATAAAACCTATACATCAAATATATTGGACACATATAGCTTACCAACAAACAAGAATTTGACTTAATAGTGCAATTATCATAACATGTGCGGTTAATGTTTGTTGTTCCTCCATCATCTATTTGAAGACTCGACTAAGAGTAATGCAGAACCATCAATTTGTCAGATGATTATCGCAAATGTATATCCAGCAGAAACAGAGAAAGACAAGGTTTATATGAAAAGAAAGACTACCAAACACATCTTGAATATCCCTTGGAGGTGGGGAGGCATCCTCCTAAAGGTTTACTTATGTTAGCAATGGCTTCTGAATAAGCAATATCACCACAGAAGTTTACCTCTCTACATCCAAGCATATATGGATGAAGACAGATGAATGGACTTTACCTCATCTACAACAGCATATGGTGGCATATCAAGCTTTACAATCTCGTAGAAACCAATGCGAAGAATCTGCAAAAGATTAATGAAGGAAGAAGAAGAGGATCAGTGCAAGTCTTAAGTCCCGGTTCAAAAATTCTCTACTAAAAGGTCCTATTAGCAGAAAGCAATTCAGTGGCTCAGCTTCACCACATAACCACAAAAATTTCTGCAGTATTCCACAAACATCCAAGCAGTTAAACTTCGGATTTCAGACGCTGAAGATGGGGAAAGAGAGAAAATTAAAAAGCAAAGAGAGAGGGAAGGCGCCTGATGGATCAAAGATTGGCATTTAGAATTGCTGTATGAAACCCTTTAAACGTCATGATATCTGACTTGGTGATAAAGGAGTTGAGAAATAGATTATAAATATATCACAACAGAGGTTAGGCTTCTTGATGCAGTTAGTAGGTACGTCCAAGTTGAAGACTGTTGAGTTTCATGATTGACAATGCATGAGAACAAAACCAATGTAAAATAGATAAAGCACACCTGTAGAAGAAGAGGCTCCAAGCTTCTGAATGTGCTTTCTTCATGGCAGAGTGAACAGATTAAATGATCAAGATATCTCCTCCATCTAATGGTTCCTCCAACAATATCTGTAACCTACAAAATCCAATGTGACCAAAATGGGAGATTTATGGCCATGCTATTGATGTGTTCATTAATTCTATTTTTAACCATATCAACCTAAAAATTTAATCAATCTCCAGGAATCATCAGAAACAGAAAATCTATATTACAATTGCTTCAAAAATATTGTGGAAATGCCAACACTAACATTACAATATAATATTAAAAAATAAAAGCATAAGTACACAAGATAAGAGGACTGCAAGTGAGAACTAACCAATCTAAGACCCCGATCATCTAAATCACGTGTTCGAAACCCAAGAGTTCTTTCTACATATCCCATTTCATTGCTACCAGAACCTTTTCCTTTCTCATTCAGAAGGTCAGCAAATGCACCACCCAGCTCAATTCTCATCAACCTCACAGCAGAAACTGTATAAACCATTAAAAAAACATTCGTATAAGAAAATGAATAGTAACCCTCTCATAGCCAACAGCTTCGGACAAACTGATCACTTTTATCAAAAAGGGAATGGAATCATAGAAATACGAATGTCCGCAAACTTTGTTTAAGGCTATGTTTGGAACAACAAACCTCATTTGGCAATTTATTAGAAAATTATTCTTAGTTTAATTCCAATTAATGTAACTGTCTTCCAAAATGATTAAAAAAAAAAAAATCTCTCAGACAATTTCAGGTAGAGGTGAAACAATACATTTCCAAATCTGTTAAATTTCACTTGATATTGTTTAAGAAGTTATTATCATTTTATAATGAATTTGTATCCATTAAGGGTGGATTTCTAATATAAGTTTTACAAATAAATTAATTTGTTCCAAATAGCCTAAGTAAACAATTTAAATAACAAAATTTCAAATGCAATAACTAATCACTAATCAATCAATCAGATTAAAGATATGACCTAATTACCACTCATCAGAAAACAATACTGATATTAGATATTATAATTACCAGCTCTATGAGGAGAAACCTCCAAATTCAACTTCTGGGTCTTTTGTAATGGACCAAGAGGACCTAAATAGCAAAATATGACATTATATGAGAGCTTTTAAAAAATTGGAACCTCCCCGAGAAATATTACCGAGATCTTTGTGCTAACAATTTTCCATTTCCTGCCTTTACTAGAGAACCAAACAAAAAAGTTCTACCTCTTTTAGGAGCAGAAATGGATGTGTTGGGTTTACGGGCTTTTCTCAGTCGCTCAGCCAAAGGTTTTCTTGTCTCGACGGGTTGTATTGCACGAAGAGCGAGCACATGCGCCATTCACAGCTTTCTCTGGTCTGCTCTTGGCTTCTACTGTGCACACTACACTACAGCAGTAGCTAGCTGGGAGGATGACGAACATCAAAAAGAAAAAGGCGGCTTTTGGATATCGAATTACGAAAATGCCTCCTTCTAGATCAGAGAGAAGATGGGTCTGGGCTACTAGACCGGCCCACGGGAATGGGCTGCTATGTGCATGACAAAACTGAATTCATAAGCTAAGCTCATATCGAATTGCTTTGCTCGCTCTCTGAAGACGACATGGTTTTGACTTTTCTGGAGGGTTTTTGCTTTCCTGCATGCAACAATGGCGGCAAATGCAGAAATGGCGGTGTTCGCTGACACGAATTTGGGCACCCGCATCGTCATGGGAGTACCTCCAGATATCACAGCTGGAGATTTCAAACGTAAGCTTTTTTATTATTCACAATGAAAAAGAAAGGTCTTCTTTCCGTCTTTGTATATGGGTTATCCTTTTCTGGTCTGTGTAACAATCAACTTAGTTTTTCCCTATAAATTTCAGCTTAATGGGTCCCTTTTGTCCCTTTCAAGACTGATGAATTTTTCTTATAAATTTTGTTTCAGAAGTTTTGACTTAGATTTCTCAAAGTTTTTTGCATTTTTCTTCCCTTCTAATATCTGTTGGCATTTGGTGTCGGTGCTGGTGCGTGTTATCAGGCTGATTTAACCAACAGGGTTTGAATCAACTGTAAAAGAAGGAATTTTGGTCCTTGATAGAATCTTTAAATATAAAAGGGTTTGAATAAACAGCGAAATTTGTTAAGAAAGACACACTCTAATTCTACTACTCTGCTGTGTTTACTTTAAAGTGGGTATTTTTACTCTTAATTTACTGAGCTGCTTATACGAGATTTAGATTATCTTGCATTGGATGGACTGAATCTTGTAAACTTCAACATGGATCCAATTCAACAGATTTAGTCTTGAGCACGGTTCAAGTCGAGTTAAACAAAGAGATAATAGATGAAAATTTTATTGAAAGACTCTGAAATCACTGATTGTTGCCAATTATTCAACAAACTTAAGCTGATTGAAAAAGAGATAGTCTCTTAGGAGAGATATGTGAAGACCTACTGGCTTAATGTCTTGGATCATGTGTAGACTAGTTGATCTTTGTGCAAGATTTAATTTTAACAGAAATTGGATAGTCAGAATTTGAAGATTACATGTCTTACCATGTTTAATAATAGAGTTATGCTGGTGATGATCATCCAATGCATTCTTGAGTTTGCTAATGATTATATTTAAGAGTTGTAGATTCTCAGATACTTTCTCCTATGCTCATTGATTTTTCTGTGTTTCTTAAATGAGTAAAGTTCTCCTTTCATTTGTTTCATCATGTGCATGCATAGAAGATTTTCTTGACAATACCTTAACCTGAATGTTTTTTTCTTCTCAGCATGATTGACCATCCATAGGAAGTTCATAGTTGGATTGATTCTTCTACTATATAATGCAACAGGTTGTAACACTTCATTACGCTTAACTAGCACTAGTTTGTGATAACTAATCCATCGGAAATTGTTCTAATAGGGAAACTCGAGAAAACACACTTCAATTGCTTTCCGAGTTTCGGAGAGATCAAAGTTAATGGATTAATGGTATATCTCAGACCAATCTGTTTCAATTTAATCGACTTTCTTTTCTTTAAGCCTTGTGACCACGTTTGTTCTATCACTATTTCTTGCTTCTTGTTCTAACTCCATCTTCGAGCAGGTGAAGCGGAAGTCATCCTTTTACCATCTTCCCGAGTGGATTCCTATAAAGTATGCTTTCCAGGGTCTTAGGGGGACATGGTTTCTTCAGGTAGAAGGAAGGCTTTTGAATGGTTCGAATAGCGCAGATTTATCCAAGCATGTTGCTGCAGAAGTTGGGAATCATGCCTTTCATGGCAGCAACCTAACTAAATCTCTTGCTATAGCCAGTAGAAGAAAGAATGGGTTGAGCAATGAAAAGGGAAAAAAGGAAATATTCAACAGAATCAAAACTTCGCAACAAGAGCTTCCAAAAGTTTTTTCTTATTCAGGCAAAAAGAGGAAAAGAAAACAGAGAATAAACAATTTGGAGCACCCACTGCCTCCAGCTAACGAGAACATTAATATCGACAAAGAAATGCAAGCTATCAGCTGTAGAAAGAACCTTTATCATTTTTTATCAGAGATTGAATTCGAGTCTGCAACAAAATGTCATCCCGCCTCAAAAAGACGAACACCTAGCAAGAGGTTTCAGCAAGTCATTACAGATGCTAACATCAATGGAAGATACTCCTCGAGTTTCTGTGAGGAAAGCAGATATAGAAGCCCTTCTGTGTCACTTGTTGCTTCTACTATTCATAGCAGACTTCCTCAACAACTTAAGGCTCAACGAGATGTTAGCTGCTCTACCATTGGAGTTGACACTTTGCCACAGCTTAACCTTCGAACACCACCAAGAATATCTCCTTCTCTATCTCAAACTGACTCAAAGCTTGAATCTTCAAGAAATAAGCCAAGAGGAGCTGAAATTGGGAAACGTCTCCTCACTGCCTCGAATAATATCATCAAGCCTCAAAATAAGCACAGATCTGCAATATCTATATGCAGAACCAAGAATAGAAAATATGAACGCCGAAATGCTGCATCTATAGCCAGATATATGGCATTTGAGATGAGCAGCAGTGATGGCTGAAGAAATCCGGTGGTGCCTTCTGATAAAACTTAACTCATGTATGTTAAAACTGCTATGCTCATCCAACCCCTGTGCCACTTCCATAATTTTCCAGCAGCATTCAGCTTATTCTTTGAATCGACTGATGATTCAAGGTCCCTCTGATTTTTCCAGGTTGGGCTGTGCTGATTTTAACACTGTTCGAAAAGGAGAAAAACAATGAGGGCAATCATATAGAATTCACTCCATGAATACAAAAACTAGCTCATAAGTATCCAAGTTAGCTTTTGAGGTTCACATTATTGTCAAACATGCTTTGCCAGGACAGTGATTTGGAACCAACAATAGCTTAAGTAGGTTGACCTGCCATTGACAGTCTTGATATGATGAAGAGAATTCGATCAAAATGCTGAAGCTTGGTAGCATGAAAAAAACCGATGTTGTAGAGTTGAGCCTGGGGATTGTGCAAGAAGATATCTAGTATTTTGTATTTCACTGGAGATATATGTGGGAAGGCAATTTTTTTGAGCAATTTAGGCTGCAAAACATTGTTCCTGAGGAGGTGGTCAGAGGGTGCAAGGCATTTTTGCTTAACTTTTCATCTCCATTGTGAGATATACTAATAGAATATAAATAATTTAGACTTGAAGCAGACATAGCATTAGGGATATTGACTTTTCTGGTCTTTGCACTCTCATAATAATAAGGTTCTTTTATGGCCAAGTTTCACCATGTAAATTTTGTTTTCTCTGTTCATGACATTGACAAACATAAGATTATAAAGAACCTTAGGTAAGTTAGCTCTGTGTTTATTCTCTTCATTTACTGCATTTGTAATTGGATTAATTGTTCGGCAGGGGATACAAGAAAAGGATAGCTCATGAGGGATCCTCGAATCTTCAGGCACCATTAGTGTCTCTCTAACCAAGGCATAGACCACTTGATTTCATATTTTAAGAATCTAAATAGACGTAAAATAGACAGCTCTATTACATCTTTTAATCTTACAGCTCTATTATATCTGTTCATATTTTAGGAATCCAAATAGTCGTAAAACTCCCGACCATTTCTTCGAGGTTTACCAAAAGAGTCCATAATGATCCTCAGACTGCCTCTTATCTCTTGCCAGTTGAAGACCAAATCTTAAATGCTGTAGCTCCTGCCATTTCAGCCGCATGATGGATTGGGAGGCAACTTATGCTAGTAAATATCCCCCAACCCTTCCAATCTCTGTATATGAAACTCAGACCTCTCCAATTCTTGGACCTAATAGCGGCATCCATGTTCATTTTATAGTGCCCTCTGGATCGAGCAACCCATGACAGCGGAGGAAAATCCATTTGTTGCTTTCTTAATTTTGAAAACGAGTACATTTTGATTTAAATTTATACCCTTGTAAAGATAAATAAAAATATTAATCATTCAGTCAATAAATTATATTTTTTTAAAATTTAATTTTATAAATTACGATAATCTTGCAATTATTTCTATTGTTACTCTAAAATTTTATCCATCATTTTTTAGATGTATTTTTTATTATATATATCGAATCAAGATGAAAAGTTATAATATAGTAGAAAAAAAAGGAGGTCTATGATTATTGAATAATAGTTGACTTAGGTCAAAATAAATATTACTTGGTATTCATATAATATCTTTGGAGATAATCTATGTTTATAATTTTTTTATTTTAAAATAAATGGGGCTAATTTTGTTATTCTTTGTTTTATTAATATGCTCATAATTATTAAATTCAACAAATAATTGTAAATTTTACCTTTGAGTATCACTAAAGTTTAATATATGAATTTAACACCATATGGTATTTTAAAATTTAACAATAATTTGAAATGTAATCGCATTTGATAGATTCTCATTTAATTTATAGTTAATTTTCAATTTATTCTTATATTAACTTTTATAAATTAAATTTTTTTTAAAATAGCTAATTATGCTAAAATATCTCATAATGTTAGTCCTTATATAGTTATTTTAGTATTTTATTTATCAAAATAAATAAATATAGTGATAATTTACGTAAAAAAAATAAACAAAATGATAATAATTTATAAACAATAAATATTAACAAACAATTTAATGTACTTAATTTATCTCTACTTGTGTATTGTTTATGAAGTTTGCTTGATGTGTTATGATGTATTATTTATAAGAACTTGGTGACTTGAATTTGTTCCTTCACATAAACATATTTTTAAATACTAATATATATATTTGTATATAAAATTATTACATTTTATCTAAATAATACAAGTACTTCATACGTAAAAGTCTAGAATTTTATTGAATAGAAATATTAAATTAATGAATAAGTTAAAGTAATTGAGAATTTAGAGTTTATGTTCTTTACACAGTAAATTATGATGGCCAATAAAGTTACGAAAATGTCCCTTAAAAAATACCAAAATAACATAAATATAAATATAACTAAAATCATATAGAATCAACCTCCACAGAGCAACTCCGATGGGACATAGGAGGCAATCTTTAGCCGCTAACTTTCTTATTGTTCAGGATTTAGATCTTGGTCTTGCTGATCTAAAATTGTTAAATAAGAAAAATGAACTACACTATCTCAGTGAGAATGTCAACTTAGCAACCGATACAGAAAACAAAAAATTGGTAAAAATCACAAAACAACTAATGGAGTTTTTTTTTTTTTGATAAATTCACTTAATTTAAAAAAGTAAGTTTTATACTCGACTTTTGAGTTCTCAAATTCAACTTATGAAAGCAATAATTAAAATAACAATTCATTATACATTTTAAGGAATAGTAATAGTCAAATTATATCATTTTAAAAAAAATAAAGACATGAACTGAATGCAGAAGTGAAATAATAGAATTATGGTATACATTAAAATAATAGAATTAAGATATACATTCCTTACACAATAATTAAGAATACCCAATAGGGATACCGGAATGACCATTCTAAAAAAACAAGCAAAAAATCAAAGAAATAAATAAAGAATAAATAATTAAGTATCATAAAACGACCTTTACTAGCTTTTGAAAGGAGTTCGGATGGTGAACTATTCACAACCCCCCTTGTTGATCGGGATTTGGATATTGGTCATCTTGATCTGAAATAGTTAATGAAATGGTGAGCTACATTAGCGCAGTAAGAATATCACACTACTCACCGATACAGAAATAAATGTTGGTAAAAATCATAAAAATAACTAATGGAGCTCCTAAATTAAATAAATTCATTTATTATAAATAAAATCATTTATTACATACTTACCATACCGAGATTTTCAAAACTAACCTATAGAGACAATAACACAAACAACATCATAATCTCATATTCAATTAGCCAGAACAACAACTTTTTCTTTTTTTTATTTGCTTACTGGTATCATTGGGGGTCCATAGGAATGTCCCACCACGCGTGAACCCATAACAAAACTTATCATTTAACTAGCTGTTCTCATACCCCGTCCGATATGAGTGCCAAAAGTATCATTTCTTAATACCTCGTTCGGTATGAGGGTGAATCGGACTGTCCCCATACCTCATCTAGTACGAGCGTCAAAAATATCATTTCTGTAACACCGAAATATTTTTTTATATTATTTTTATTATTTTTATTATTATTTATTTTTCTTTTTTTTTGTATTTGAATTTTTTAGATTTTAATTTAATTTAATGAAAATAAAAATAATAATAATGATAAAATTGGGTAAAAATATTATTTGGATTTAATTGAAATTGATTTTGGGAAAAATGGGTGAAAATTTGGATTATGGGGGTGTTTTTGAAAAGAAAATCGAAAATCGGGGGGTCAAAATATAATTTAAAAAAATTGTGCCACGTCAGCAGCTACGTCAGTAGCCTTAGCCAACCAGGACACGCCGCGTGGCAAGGAAACACTGACACAGGACGGGCCACGTGGACGATCCGCGTGCGCGCGATCAAACGGCCCAGATCCGTTCCCGCGCGCACGGACGACCCAGATCAAACGTACGCACGGACGGTCCAGATTCACGCGTACGGACAGCCCAGATTCAATCAGGCATGGACGGCCCAGATTGCATCGCGATGGACGGCCCAAATTTAATTCCAATTAAATCGCGATCGGACGGTCCAGATTTAATCTTGATGGACGGTTGAGATTAAAAGGCAAAGGGTATAAATAACTCCACCCACACCCCTGACCACAAAACCCTAGCCGCTAGTTCTTCGCCGGAGAAGAAGAACCAGACGCCGGAGGAGCCGGCCGCCGCCACCCGCTGCCGCACCGGAGAAGTTTTCGACCGTCAACCGAGGTAAATTTTCTCCATTTGGCTTGTTTTTCGATGCTGAATCCGCCTATGGCCAAATCGGAGCCAAACCACCGGCTAAACGACCAAAAAACCCCGCTGAAGTCCGGCACCGTCGCCGCGACTCCCCTCTATTTTTGCCTCCGATGAGGCCCTTCCCGGCCTCCGTTCGATGCAAATTTTATACCACTGTGATCACCGTTCTTTTCTCTACAGGTTGATCGGAGTCAAACATCAAAACACGACTCATGCCGGAGGAGCCGCCGCACCCAAGAGCACCGCCGCCAGTAAGTCTCGGTTTTTCGTGATTTTTTGGCCTACCGAGGGCCTTAAGGTTGTTTTATCGCAGGGACCGATGCAAGTTTGGCCAAATTCGGCCGAAAATGGCCAACCCGAGGCGGATTGCCGCCGTCAGAGCACGGTAGAGCCGCTGTGCCGGAATTCTGATATTGGCCAAAAGGGCCCCTAGGTCTGATTTGGGATTTTTTGGGACACGTGCAGGTACTGGTAGTGCGTTTCAGTTTTCTGGGAAAAAATTCAGAGAAATTAGGGACAGCCCGTAGGCGCACTGTAGAGTCGATTTCAGACCCCGAAACAAGTAAGGACTCCTCACCCTATTTCCTATCACGGTGGACGGACCGGGTCAGTAGGAAACCCTACCAGGAACGTGGTCTCTCATATCGAACGGGGTATGGAGACCTTATGTGTTTTGGCGCCCATACCGGACTGGGTATGGGGATGGCTCGTTTCACCCTCATACCGGATGGGATAAGGAGGTTTATGGTTTTGACGCCTATACCGGACGGGGTATGGGGACGGCCCTGGAATCAGGTTATTAATGTTAACGGTTCACGGGTAGCGAGGATCCCCTATGGATCCCCATGGATACTAGTAGGCTGGTAAAAGAGGAAAATATATTGTTTAATGATTGAAATGCAAAGGCATGGTAAGTGTTATGTTATAAAGTCTATATAATTTCATGATGATGATAATGTTACTGCTTTCATATGTTGTTTTTATGGATCTCACCGAGATAAGTGGACAGTAAAGGTTTTTATGTTAATAAACGAGTTTGTTATAAATTATGCTCCATTGGTCATTTTTGTTTTCTACCCACCTTTACTTCCGTGGCGGTGAGATAGTGTGATGTCTTTACTGACTGGTGTAGCTCATTTCTTATTTAACTATTTTAGATCAGGAAGACGTTGTTCCCGAGCCCGTTCCGCAGGAAGACGGCGAATGGGACGCCTAAAGACTTCATAGTTATATTTATAGTTTTTATTTCGAGTATCTCTTTTAGTTAGTTTGTTCCTTCATGTTTTGAGTACGTTTTGGTTATTGTGTAAGAGATGTCAATCAAAATTTTTATTACACTTTCACATTTGAGATTTTTAATACATACATTTCATTTAAATTTCCGAGGCCGTTACAGTTGGTATCAGAGCCGCATTCCTCGGACCCATCCCTTACACAATAATGCTTAAAGAAATACTCACTGATAAGTCGTTACTCAA